TTGTGTCACATACTCATTCCCTGTTTGTTTTTAAGGTTTTCACATAAACACTCTATGTGAACTAAACCCAACACTGTTAGCTTTTGTTGCACGGCAACTTAATCCTTGTTCAGAGCAGAGGTTTTTAAACATCTTTCTTGAATATACAGTCATGTAGCTGCAACAGTTAAAAGTATACTGATTGTATTTCAGTAAGCATACAACGTGCAGCCTCAAAGGTTACAACAAGTAAGCTAATTATGACTATCATGTGATTTTATTATTTTATCATTCTTTCAGTAATTTAATGGTCAGAAAGGGTGTAGGAGTTCCATAGACACAGAATATTTCAGTGTTTGTGCACAAACACACAATAAAACACTGGAGGTTTCTTTGAGGACTGTTTTGCCAGATTTTCCCATTTCAGAAACAGGATGAAAGCTGTTGGTCAACTCTGTTTGGTTAATGACAATAAAGCAGATATTTTAAATGTAATATAATTGATGTGTTTTCAGTTTTATTTTGAGTGATTTGCATTTATAAGTTAAAGTTAGTGCTTGATGCGTAAGGCTGTAGCTTTTTACCTTTACATGTCCTGCAGGGGAGTATGCTGCATACGGCTGAACCACCTCAGGATCGCTTTGGTCCGGAGTGTAAGGCTTTTCTTTTTCTCTTATTGTGTGCAGCACCGTATCGGTTGGGCTCACTGAAATTAACAAGTCATGGTGAAAGATCTGTTTGTGAGACATCAGGGCGCTTGCAGATTGAAGAGCTTCTCAGTGTTAGAAAGAGTGTTAAATACAGAGAGTGGATAGTTTTCGCTTAATACCAGTTTTCTTGGTATGTTGGATTGAGTATGGAATGGAACTTTCTTAAAAGACAAAATACGTATGTATGGGAAAAAAATATACAATATAACCAAAACGTAACAATGTAAAAGTACTTAAAGGATTTTGTCTTCCATGGAATAATCCTATGAATGCTGATGGAGCAGCTTTCACTGTAGTTAATCATACCGCACAAGCTAACTAAACCATTCATTCTTATACTGTAATGTTTACTTTGACCAAGATAATGTAACCATTCCCTCTATCATCATGCTTTTCACAAGCATTTCACTCACCTACAGTGACTGTATTAGGGTTATTTTTGTCAGGGAAGGACAGGTAGACCCAGTACTCCTCTCTCCAGGCCTTGTCTAGTCCAGTTTCAGGGTCTTGCCATCTCTTAAGCATTATCTGTACAGTCTCCTCATCTCCAGCTGTGGTAGCCATATGGGGCACTTTTGTCAGGCTCCTGTGAAGGAAGATAAAAGATAAAACTTCAATGGCAATTTAGCCTTTGAAATACTTGAATGAATGGTAATGGTATTAAATTATACTCTTTGGATTTTAAATGAGGTGCTGGTGAGATTTTATAACATTGTTTAAAAAATAAGGAAACTGACCTGAGATTTTCCTGAATCTGAATGTTGTCCACCTCCGACATGAACTTCTCAATGAGGTTCTCATCCACATCCTTGGCCACATCTTTCAGCCACGATGGTGCAGAGGTGCCGCTCTTGGCAATACCAAAGTGACCAATTAGGATGCCTATGGTCAGTACGGCAGCACCACACACAACCCCAATTATCACCTGTTTTATCATACTCCTCCCTGAGATGAGATCCTCCTGTGAAAAAGTCTCTTTGGACCTGAACCCTGACAGTGAGTCTTCCCCAAAGATCTTTTTTTTGACCTGTAAGCTTTTTATGAATCCCGTCTTATGTAAGACAGCATTGTTAATTCCTGAATGTAATGACAGTGAAGCCCCTGCAGTCTCCTCCCATAAGACATGGTCATTGTAAAGTTTACTCATTAATGTTTGCAGATGCGATGGACTTTATCCCTTCATGTGTAAATGTGTGAGGGGACTGAAAATCATTTATTTTCAATGTTTGCACACCTAAATCCTTTTCTTCTTTTCTTTTTAAACATGTCATTCTCAACCCAATTCTCAATTTCTTAACTTAATTTCAAGTCAATTTATGTATGTATATTTATATTTAAAGAATTCTTAAAGTAAAAAATATATAAGAGTTAGAATGTTGCTAAAATGTAATTAAAAACTATATTAACAATATAAAGATTACAAGACAAACAAAAAAATATCACCAATAAAGGAAAATCCACTGAAATCATTAAATCCACGTAGGGTTTAATGCCGAAGTTGTACCAAAATGGGAATGTCCAAATATTCCTAATACACAAGAGATGAGAGACTGTTGCCTGTGTCTATAAATAATGAATGAATGGATCTTGTGAGACTACGGTGAGTTATTTGATATCAGTACTAAATAAACACAATCTTTGTTGGGACTAATGACTTTCATGCATGACTTCCTGTTACTTAACTGCATCATGATAGCACGCCAAAAAAGGAACCTGAAAGAATCGAATTTTATGTGGAGAACAAAAAAAAGTACACAGTAACGTGGACCGATTAAGAAAATTGGTCACATGGGACTAGAATAAACTTGAACCTTTTGCATGCTTTGTTTCATTTTAAAAGCATGTGAGATGTGAAACTGTTTGATTTGTTTCTCAGATGATCTTTAAAGGAGTAATAACATAGTCATGAAGCTAAACTATCATATTTCAAATTTTACAGAGCTTTCAAATGTTAGAGAACTGAAGACAATGTGATGCTCACTACATCTGATTTAAGGCCAATAAAAAATGTGTCTTTTCAATCTGCGTAAGTCAGTCTGAAATGCTCAGTCTATCTTACAGTAAGCACTGTTTGGATGTACTGTTTGAATTCAGAGGTAAGGAAAGAAATAAATGTGTGTCAAAGATATGCAGAAATCCTTCAGCCCTTAATGTTGTCGTACAACACATTAACTAAACATGCTTTGCATGCAGGCTGTTTTCGACACTACTTTGTAAAAGTCTTGAACAATTCCTCATTTCTTTATATTTTGCAGGGAAGATGTGAATAAGTGCAGTGATCTATTGAAACAGGTAAACATAACTGGAAAAACAGTTTATAAGGCAAAAACAGAGTTTATGCTGACAAGCTTGAAAGTCTTTTTGTACAACCACCTTTATTTTTCAATATCCCAAATATCACTGGCTGAAATGCCAAATGAAATGCCAAAATGTGCAACTTTGTAACAAGAAGCTAGTAACAAAGTGCCTAAAGATGCAGTGGGTTCTTTATTAAGCTGTCTGTTATGTGCATAAGTCAGAGTTTAGTGGCATATGTGGAGGTAGATTTCTTTTCTCATGTATTAATCACATATTTAATCATATCACATTAGTTATAGTAATATCACTTTCTCACTTTACTATAGTAAGAGCACTCCTGTCACTAGTTTGCATGCATGTGGAATGTTAACACAGTGAGGCCATTGTAATGGGAGACATTATATAGATAGTCAGACTACTTCTGCTTATCGGGGATGTAAATCCTTAGGTGACGGCTAAGCAGAAAACAAGGTCATAATTCTCTCTGTGAGGGAGAAGGTATAGCCCCCCGTGAGAGAGGCCAACATGTAAGAGTTTGTGGAATGTTCTGTTCTGTCTCTGTATATAAGATGTAAAGGCAGTGGCCACAATTCAGAGATAGTCCTAGTGTTTCACTGGGATGCTCTCTCCACATTGCAATGTGTTTATTAAACCCACTTCAAATCAAGCTCACTGGGTGTGTTGCAGGTTATTGTTTTTTGGGTTGTTTTTTTTTTGCCTGTCCCATTTGGTTCTTTAGCTGTCAGAATTGTTGTCTGAAGACCAACAAGAATACCCAATGAATTTACTTTACCAAGTGGATCATCGCGGCCTTGCCGTATTGGTCCATTTGATCGACCTTTGTTGTTATTATTTATTTTATTTTATTTTCAGTTGTTATAGATGGGACAGACATGACTAGGGGATGGGAAAGGGAGAAAGAAAGATGAAGGAAAAGAAAAACAGAAGGGAAGAGGGACAGTGAGAAAGGGTGCTTAAAAAGAGAAAGAAGAAAAAAAAAGAAAAAAGAAAAAAAACCCTCCTGGATCACCTGTTGAGAGGAAAAGAAGAGAAAACAAGCAAATAAACAGAGCAACATAATAAACACAACACCATCGCATTAATCTAGCTAAGTGTAAACAGCAGTAAATACTAAATATTGAATGTTGTGGTGCAGCACGCAGGACCGACAGCGCACAATGCGCTTTGAGGTAGCAGCCAAGAAAGGTGTAGTTTATGTCTATGGACAGTGAACATCTGTGTGCACACCTGTGTGAATCAGCGCGCTTGTATTCAAAAGGTTTCCCCATTGCAGGTTATTGTTAAATTTTCCACAACACTTGCAAATCTATCAGTCACACACATTTAAACTCAGATGAATGCATCAGAGAGCAACTTGGGGTTAGTATCTTGCCAAAGGATATTTAGCATACAGCCTGGAGCAGCCAGGGAACAAACTGTCTGATCAGTAGATGACTTGCTCTACCTCCTTAGTTACAGCCACTCCATGAGCTTGAGCTCAATTAATTTTAGTATTCATGACTCATTTACTTTACTTGTCATGTTCAACCAGAAAAATCCTAACAATAATGAAAGATTTATCACTCAGTGACATACACTGACACCCAAAGGGTACATGTGGTCCATAACTGTAGACCTGTAGGTGACCATAGCGTACACTACTATTTTCTGTCTGGAACTGATCCTCACTGAGGATGGATCAGTGTTCCTCAAAATAAATAAACTTTAACACGTTATTTAATCTCGGATTCTTGCAAAATGTTCGACGAGGACCAATTGAAAACCAAAATACAAGAGAGTTGAGACAGTAAGCGCACGGAAATAACCGTTAATCGAAGCAACGTTGCCCTC